TGAAAACATAACTATCATAATATTCCACTTCACGTTATGAAAACACCACTAAATTTGTATTAACTTTTTCTTAATATAAAACAAAAACCTTACTAGCTTAAATTTGCCTCTATGATCGCCGATAAAATCAAAACATGTACTAGTAGTTTGATCAAAATAGATCTTAGTTGCTAATCACCCCCATTTTACTTCGAGAACTCAAAGCAACATTCTTAAAAAAGGAATTCATCTTTATGGTGTTTAGCGGTGCTTTTCTCTTCATACCTGCTAAACTACAATTCCTAGAATTAGAACCAAAAGAAAATATCTGATTAACATATTTGGCATGTAGAAGACCAAAATTGAGAGAGATTTGTAGCAGTAATAGGTAGTTCAAACCTTAGCTAGTGCAGCCAAAAAGCGAATGTTTACCTCTTCAAAGTACACAATAAGGTGTCGCAAAAAAAGTACACAATAACGAAAATAGATTATTTTTTTAAATACATAATAATTGTCTATTGATAGTTATTATATTTTTATATGGAAAAATTTATGTGTCACAGAACTAAACGGGGAATTTGGAAAACAACAACAACAACAGCAAAACCTTTAGTCCCAAACAAGTTGGGGTAGGCTAGAGGTGAAACTCATAAGATCTCGTGACAACTCATGGTTCAGCACATAGATAGCAAACTTCCACGCACCTCTGTTCATAGCTAGTTCTTTGGTGATACTCCAATCCTTCAGGAATTTGGAAAATAAAACAAAACCCGATAAATAACGCATCCGGGCGTCACAGGTGTCACAGGTGTCACAGGTGTCGTGCACAGCGTCCCTACCCAAGGGCGCGCAGGTGCATACACCCATCTTGAACTCCTCCACCGGATAAGAAAAAATGTGTTATTTTTGTTTTATTAGGAAAATTTTGATTGTTATTTAATATGTGCACCGGATTAGCGATTTGTTATTGAGGAAAATCAGATTTTGTTTTCAAAGGTTATGAATTTTTTTCTTATGCTTGTCTTTTAGGGAGGCGATCTCACACATATGGTGCGATATCTGAATTTTTAATTACTTATTATATATGTGATTGAATTGAATCAGAACTTACCAAAGCAAGCATGAAACAAGATCTCTCTCTTAATGGGATTTGGTTTTTAATGGAAGGTAGAGTGGTGGGTGGTGATGCGAAAATAAACCAGATCAAATATATGGTGATAGTTGAGGCGGAAAAAAAATCTGTGGAAGGGAAGCTATCGACTCCCTTTTACGAGTAGGGATTTATGTAGAATATATTGATAAATTAATGCAAAATATGCAGAATCTTAATGTTTTAATACCATATATACTCATCACTTTTCATGCGCATACAATGCATGCTGGACCACATCATTCATTAAATCAAATCAACTAATGCTACAAAAATAGTGCCAACGGTGTGTATATATACTTGCACTAGTAAAGAAACATCTCCCCAGGAAGAGAGTGAAGCACACGCTCTCTATGACTATGTCAAAGATCATTCTCCTCCTCCTCGTCGCACCCCTTCGCATGGCCGCCGCAAGGTCGGATTGTCTCCCCGGGGGGCAGCACATGGAGGCGTCTTTTGCCTGTAGCATGATGTGGTTGTCGAAGCCGCAACAAGATCTATGCATCCGCATCATGATCTGGGGCGGCATCGACATGTCCGTGTCGCACAAGGAGGAGGAAACCGGGTACGTGACCCTTGCCGCGTGGTTCGCCGTGGAATCCTTCGACGTCACACGGATCGCCGCGAGGAACCAGCTCAGCCATAACACATCGCTCTCCGGACAGGAGAGGCACGCCTACGAGGGGTGCATGAAGGACTACGCGCTAGCGGGCAGACACATCACCCGCGTCGCCAACGAGATGCTACCCAGCTGCCGCTTCACGGACCTCAGCTACGAGTACAACCGTGCGCTAAATAGCATAGTTACTTGTATGAATCGGCTGTCGGCGCTGACTCAGGTGAACACGCCGTTGTACCCCATGGTGTTGGCCGACCAGGACAAAGCAGTGCTGGCGTACCATCTTGCTACTTTGATAGGTGTATTGTGATAGATCAAGAGGCGGTACGTACGCCAAAGAGCAAACGATAAAAGAGACATTGGGTGCGCCGCTACATAGCTTTACATGTGTGATGTATTGTCAGAGTTGGATCCAAGATTTGGTGCCGGGTTAGGCTAATCTATCTATCTATTAAGTTACTAAGCTTCCTCAAATTCGAGGCTACTGATGTGTCATAGTATTAGGGCATTCCAATGACAACCCGCAAAAATTCTTCCGCATCCGTCCGCGGACAGGGGACCAGTTCATGAACATGGATGCGGAAGGCAGTCATCCATTTTCACAACAACTCGAACCAACCGGACAAAATTCGTGCAAATAAGGCCGGAATTCATATAAACATAATGGATTTCATATAAAAATGGCGGATTTTCATATAAACATAATGAATTTCATTGCATTTACATCAAAGTGGTCCTAGTCCAGCTCTGGAATGTAATTAATACCTAATCTAAATCGCCGTCCGGAATCCCTTTGTCTTCCTCGTGTCCGGCAGCCCGATTACCGAACTGCCAGGAGCCCCGGGGGTATGTGCTTCAGCACAAAGGACGGCTCGCTTCCCCACCACTCATCGGGGTGGAACCCCTGGCCGATGCTTCAGCGGGAGGGGAAGGCGGCGTCTTCACTTTCGTGGAGCCCATGTGGGATCGACGGAAGTCCTCGCAAGAGAAGAACCGAGCAAGACGACATATTCTATGTACGCCGGCGTCGCCTACGCGGTGGCCTTCATGGGACCCAAGCGGCGGCGGACTCCATGTTCTACTTCTCCTTGCTGATGGCGGCGGACACTGAGGTGGCGGTTACCAACTCTTCGCTCTCCACGCATCCGGCTTCTGTCTCTGCCTGCATGGAGCGGTCGCTGGTACGGGGGGCGCGACATTGTCGACGGTAGCGATGACGCCCGTGCCGCCATGCTCCCGTTGTGCCGGCGTGAAGCAACTTGTCACTCCTCATAGGGTGGGCCTGGAGCGGCGAGTTGCTGAACCACACGGCGGCTTGGGGCGGCAACTTGCTTCGTCGGGTCAAGAGCGGGAGGTGGAGCAGCTAGCTGCCACGCTCGTATCTAGCGGGCTCGGCAGACCACCCACCCGGCTTGTATACAGGAGAACTGTTCTTCAGAAGCCATCGAAAGAACGGTGAATGAGGAGATGGGGGGAGCGACAGAGGGGTATGGTTCTTGCCCGGCGTCTGGCCTCGTTTAAATAGAGGGCAGATGGGAGGAGCTCGACCGACATTGCGTTTAATGTCGGCCCACTCATGAACGAACATGTGGCCAGGGGAGGTTTCTCGGCTTCCACACGGGGTTAATGGAGGCATATGAATGCGGCGAGGAGGCCTGTTCAGCCGGGCGTGCAGCGGACGACACCCTCGATCGACGAGCCGCTTCAATGGTGGAGGCAGTGAGAGGTCACGTATGCCTTGAGCCGCCTTCAATGCGGAACGACGCGCTCTACAGCGACATGAATGTGGGCAGTTGGCACCGGGTGGGATGTCTGCGTTGGAAGGGGAGGGTTTTTGGTGGGCCAGGGCGGTCAGAAGCGGGCTTGGGATTGGTCCAAACTCTCGCAAACCTTCCCCACTTTTGTCTTCGGATTGTGGGAGAAATCACATCCGAACCGTCGTGCACACCGATATAGTCCGGACAACGTGGTCCGGAGGGTTATGTGAGGTTTGCTGGTCGGCTTTGGAGATGCCCTTAAGAGTCGGTTGTGTGCTCGGTTATGAGGGTTTGTTTTGCTGAGTGGCTGTATATGTGCCTACAATAGCGCCACATGGCAAAAACACGCGGTTTCAAATCAGCCCATCACACATCACCGAGGTGTCGAGGAGAAGGAATATTTGCTTGAGATCACTAATTAGTGAGTTAATTGCACGTAAGTACCACGATTGAGGCATTACTTGCAGATTGGTATCATTTTTCGTAATTTTTATATGTCAGTACCAAGTTTGGGGCTAGCCGTTACAAAAAGGTTTAAATCGCGTATAAACACGTATGGACAGTGTATTGACCGACGAGGACCACCTGTCGGGTGCATATGTGGCAGTTTTTTTTGCAGAAAACCTCCTGGCTTTATATGTAATCACATAAATGCCCTTTATTTTCGCAGGAAAAAGGTCCTGTTAGAGAATATTTTTCATTCGCAAGTTTTCACAGACTCGTTCGAAAGTTTCCATCGAATCAGAGAAATAAAAAAGAAATGAAATGCTGCAGCCAGCAGTAGTCGAACCCGTGAGTTTTCACGGACTCGTTTGAAAGTTTCCGTCGAATCGGAAAAATAAATAAGAAATGAAACACAGCAGACAGCAGTAGTCTTTTTTTTTTTTTTTGAGGGAGCAGACAGCAGTAGTCGAACCCGCGACCTGCAGTTCTGCACCTGCGCGCGCCAGCCACGACGGCAGGGCGACACCCAGAGCGGAAAGGAGACGAGATCTCTTTCATAAGCCCTTTGAAACGTTGGGCCGGCAGTTGGGCTTAGCGAGGCTGTGCATGACCCAAATTTATGTGTCTTCATTCAGGCCCAAAACACAGTCTTTTTTTTAGTTACTCGTGTATTGATTGTACTAGTTAGACGCCCGTGCGTTGTCACGGGATAACAAAAATATATATAATGATAGATTGAAAGGTGTCATGTGTGGTTTCTAAAAAGTCATTATGGATGTTCATCTCTTCCTATGTTACGCTCTTCTGGTTCGTTTTCTACCACCTTGTCCCCGCTACTACCCCTTCTGTAGCGCTTTGACCTCATAGCCATGACACCACATCTGAAATCGCCATCGTCCCTAGGGTTGCCTACGACTTGTTATCCGGTGTCCTCATCATCGCCAGATATCACCTCCTCTTTACCCACAGCTCAACAAGACATGAAAATGCAATCTGGGCACATGTTGGCCCAATGTAACATAGCACAGGCTGCACAGCCCAACAAGGCATAATAAGCAATCGGGCACCTAAGAACTGTACAAAAACTTAGCTCTCATGGATGCATATAAGATATCAAAACAAAGTAGTCTATGTGGTAATTTGATAATAATTTTTTTACATGATCATACTGAAACCTTCATCATTAGATTATGTTCTTTAAAAGGTTATACACTCAGAGATACATAGCTTTGACTTTGAGAGAGCACAATGAAAACAGGATTTATGTCGGCATAGCCAACATAAATCATGTCTAGAAAACACAAGGTGATGGACATTTACATGAATCAAAATACACGTTCACTTGTCAGCACGTACAGAAGGTGTCATCTCAAAAATAAGTAATCATTAGTGTTATACTCATACACTTGTCTCATACAGACTTACCATGAATGAAGCCACGAACCGATTTCTACATGCATCTGTAATCATGCATCAACCCTTGCACATACAAAATCCATCTTTTCCGTTTTTGCGGGCTACATCTATATTTGTTGGAGCTACAGTTGAGGATGAAAGGCACCTCACAACAACTTTAAGCAACGCCCCTTGCTTTAGCATACTCCAGAGATGAGTCCCAGGAAACCAAAAAAATAGAGTGGGCCAAAATCAGATAATCACATGGATAAGCAACAACCTTAGTTGGAAAGAAATTGTATTAGTAAACAAGAAACACAATTTTGATTCATTTTGCACACTTGAAAACAAACAGATTCATGGCCATAAATTCACTTCACTTTGAGTATAAGAGATTGTATGGGTGGCCTCTCTCGCCGTGGCGCAATGGTGAGGGAGCGGCGCGATAGCGGTGGAGGTGGGCGGCCCCCGTCCAGTCGGGCCCTTGCGGCTGGACGGCGGTGCTTGTCACGGGAGGTTCTCCTTGGTGGGCTTCCTTGGCCGCGGCTGCGGATCAATGTGGTATCCCTCGTCGGTGGGCCCGCGGTTGCGGGAATGTGTGCCGGCTGCCATGGTGAGGCGACATGGGGGGTTTGTTCGATGGGGAGCTCAGTAGGAGGGATGGGTGGCCTCGATGCGGTCGCGTCAGCTATCGCTGACAGGGGTGTGCCGGTCCGGATGCGTCCACTCCTTCTCACCCTATCCTCGTGTTCAGCGGGAAGCTTGGTAGGAGGGATGGGTGGCCACGATGTGGTCGCGTCACCTGTCGCCGGAACAGGGGTGTGCCGGTCAGGATCAATGCACTCATTCGTACTTGAACAGGTTCTAGTTTGTAATTCAAATAGTGAAACATGCTAGTGCCTACTGACCTCTTCCCACTGGTTGTATGTAATGCCACAAAAATGATTCACCATCAGAAGCATGAAGTATAGGTACACTCGCAGTCTTGAATCATCACAAGAATACAATATGATCAGCACCATGACTAACTATGTCTCAAGCAAAAATAATATCAGGTAAAGTTCACTGATAATTCGTTGCACTGATCACTGGAGAAAAGGGTACAAAGATGAATATTTTGGGGGTGGCGCAAAATAATTCGCTTCTCCACAGGATATCCAACTAACCGAGCCTAGAATGCCAGTTCCCTGCAGGATCTAATTGAATAAGATATAGAGCAACACATCTCTTGCACCTCGCATTGCAAGATGGTACTAAACAAATTGAACTGGACAAATGCACGTAATGTAGTGTTGGACAAACCGAACCTGCTAATGAAGATGCAACAAAATCGAGGCTGATTAGTCTGATCCTTCTCACCGTAAAATTCAGAAGCAGCAACATCCATTCCAATGACCAACTGTGACACATGAATAAGTATACAAGGTCTGAATCATGAGCTGTGTGTAGACAAAAATAAATTCTTCTAGTGTAGCCAGCCTTAGCTACAGCTGTCTTCAACAGTTCAAAAATCAAGACCCTCTTTATTTTTGTGCATGAGTATAAGTTTTTTTAAAGCACATATGAGCATTTGGATTCACGTATTCAACTGAAGTCGTCACAAAACAGTCAAGGCTCATTGTGCTATCCTATAATATGGTAGCACCAGAGAAACATGTGGGTGACTGTTACCTGAATGCTAGGTGCAAAACCATCTTTCATGATCCTAAATGTT